GTTTGGAAGTTCAGTTAACGCTAGAAATGTGTTTTGCAGTTTGTACGTGTTTCGTCTGTAGGGGCCCCCATAAATATTTATATATAAACATACATAAAGAAAACCATGTTTTTTTACATTACTAATTCCTTTTGTGCATAATTTTATATTGTTGTTGATAATTAATTAATTAATTAATTAAAGCAAGAAAACAACCTGAAGAGCTGGTTGGGAGCCGAAAGAGCCGGTTCTGTAAAAAGAGCTGGAAATCCCATCACTAGTGTCGCTACTTTGAAACGCTTGGGCCGCTCTGCCCGCCACAGTTTCAACCTGGTCATGTGACTGCATGGCCACATCTGATTGGTAAAAAAGTTACTGGAAACTCCACTGATGGCACGTTATCTAATGTGTTAAACTAATTATTTTTTAAAAAGTAACGAGTCGAATTTTGCAAATGTAGCGGAGTAAAAGTACCGTTTCTTCTTCACAAATGTACTCAAGTAAAAGTAAAGAGTATCGTGCAAAAAAGGTACTTTAAAAGTACATTTTTTTCAAAAACTTACTCAAGTAAATGTAATGGAGTAAATGTAACTCGTCACTACCCACCTGTGCATACAGGGACGTCCTGATATAATACGGCAGCCTCATGCTTCATGTTTTTACCTGCAGCACCGAGGATCTAACACCTGAGCTCACGGTTTCCCAGCCCAGTCTGTCTTAGATATGAAGCTAAATAAACACAAGTTATTACAGTTTACAGGAAGTGACATGGATTAACTTTAACATCATGCAGTTATCTATAGAGAAGCGTTTGGCTGATCAGAAGAGTGTGAAATGTTTGTGTCAGATTTGTATTGTTGGGTTGTTTATGCCTAGAAATAAATATTTATATATGCTTAGAAGTTTATAATGTCCGAGGAGGTCTGTGACAACTCTGTGTAGCATGAAGAGGGGGGTGTTCACTCCTCTCCAGAGTGTTCACAGATCACACTCCTCCTAGGATCATGAGAGAGGTCGTATCTTCTCCTCTGATATATGGTACAGCAAACACACGTATATCTGTTTAAGTGCCTTTGTTTAGATGAACTGCTGGACTCCAGACCAGCTGGTTTAGGGAAGGTTTATGGGGTCACACTCTGACCACACACACACACACACACACACACTTACACAACGCACAGACAAGGTACTCTTTGTGTGTATGTAGACGTCATATGTTAATGAACCTATGTATATTCATGTAACCTCAATAAAAGAGCAGTGTTACGGGGGAGCGGACGAGAGCGACTGGGGTCAAGCGAAGGAACGGCGTTTGTCCGGTTCTCTCCCGTGCACGAGAACCTTTGCCTGCTTGGTGTTCAATGCTTTTTGCTGTGTAGTTGAGTTGTCTTGAACGTTCCAGCGAATAGGTTTATGCTACAAAGCTATCAGTTTGGTGTTCTCGGGTTCTGCAGTCTGATAAAACCGACCTCTCAGCATCAAATCATTTTACTTGATAAGTCCGGGTTTCTTTCTCCTGTGCTTGAATTTTACTTCTGCTGCAGCATTCATTTCAAAAAGCTGAGCGATAACTGAGTTCCTCTCTTAGCTGTAAAACTGTCTACCTCAGTAGTTAACTACAGCCTCAACCAGAGCAGAGTCGGATCTTTGTCATGGCTCTTAAGCTTCGAGGGAGGAGCTGTGGATGCTGCTGCCTGCAGCCTCTTTGTAGTCACATGTGGAAGAGGCTGAACCAGGTTTATCTTCTTTTTCTCGGTCGGCATGTCAGACTTCTGGTTCAAAGGGGATGTTTTCAAAGGAAAACAACATTCGGGGCGGGTAAAGGTGAGGCGACAAACACACACGTGTTCACTCCACCAGCTTACCGCCAACCTGTAACACTTCCTGTGCATAGCTGTGTTGTAGCGTGGAGGGACACAGGCTGTTTGTGTTTGCACTCTGAAGGAAACATGGGTTCATACAACACATTTTCTTTGCTTTTATTGGTCGCAGCTGTTGTAACAGAACTTTTTTCATCGCTGCGGGATTCAGGCCGAGCTGTCACAGATCGGAGGAAAACATCCTCGGCTACGCTTCAGCCGGGATTCTGGATCTCAGGTCCTCTCGGTAGTCATGCCATCAGTCTGACTTCTTCTTGCTTTTTTTGTGGCCTCCCAGCGGAGGCGTTAACAGTGGCGTGCCATCTTCATCGACCTCAGTGGGGCGGGCCTTAAAGCACAGGTAGCAGAAGCAGGCGCCGATGGTAAGTGGGAAGGCGACCAGAAAGCAGCCAAGCAGCGGCGCGTGGCTGAAGACAGGCTGTGTGCGAGAAACCGACAGTCAGACTGATCAAACAGGAAGCAGGATGATGATGATGATGATGTGACTTACTGCCAGCGTGACTCTGGTATCATAAACGAGGCGTCTGACTCGCTGAAGGGCGCCGTTTCCTCCGTGACCCTAAGGCAAAGAGCAGACAGATGTTCAGAATCCAGCAGCTGCTTCCTGTCTGGAGGTGAGCCTCACCTGACTCACCTGCACGCTGCCGTTCAGCACGCCGTCCAGGAAGTCCAGCAGGTTGCGCTCCGTTTGCACAGTGCCAGGGGGCAGGAAGTAGCCATCATTGGACAGATTCACCACGATGAATGTGGGCACAACGATCTCACTGTTGAAAACAACGACAAGTCAGAGGCGTCCAATCAGAGTGAAGCTGATGTCAGAGGTACAGACTCACCCCATCACCAGGCCGCTGATGTAATCAGAGCCCGCCATGAAGCCGAAGTACATCTCCCTGAAGGGGCGGGGTCAGACAAGAGTGGGCGGAGAAAGGTAGAGAGGGAATGAGATCGGAGTTCGCTCCCTGTTTCCTGTACTTTTCAGAATAAAAGTCTGACCTGCTGTAGATGTCTCTGTGCTCTGCAGCCACACTTTCCAACAGACTCTTATACCTGAACAGGTGACAGGAAATGCTTCAGAGCACAGTCACAGGTAAACTTTACCTGGAAGATGAGCACTGAGATACTTCTTTTTTATTGTCATTGTGCAGCTGCTTGCACAGCACAATTCAAATGCAAGACCACAAAGATGCAAAAGTAAAGAAAACAATATAAGTACACTATATACACGGTGTATGAGTTACAGAAGCATTGAGGGGGGGTACAAGGACAATAATATACAATCAGGCTGTGGTCACTAAGGAGGGGGACAGTAACTGCACAACCGCCAGAATATTGCACAGAGGGTACCAAGAGAGAGCAGATGGGGTTACCTGAGACTTTCTTCACACAGGTGCTTCTCCTCCACCAACGCCAACAGCACCAGCTTACCTGCAGGACAGAGGCGGAGTCACTGCAACTGAGCCAATCAGCAACCAGTGAGTGAAATCCAGGCATGTCAGTGCTTTGTCCCAAACAGACCCGCCTGCTTCCAGTTTCATTATTGTTCAGGTGAACGTCTCCCTGACAGGAAACTGATGGGTCTGTTTCCAAAGTCAACGTTGTTCAGTGCTTTG